TGGGCTATTATGTTACGTTCATTTGCTGGTTTAGGGTTAAAGTGTTTGGGTGGCGTGACAGGAATATACTCTTTCTATTTTGAGGCTTTCATACGATTTGATAGATATCACCAAAGCAAAAGCTATTATTTATTCGTATGTAATATAAAAATATTTGTATGAAAATTTAAATCCTTGCGATATCTTCATTGAGTCACACAAGCCACAAGCGGCTTAGATACATAGACTTTTAACATTCTTAATCTAAACGAAACGACTCGTGTGCTCCTAAAAGCGGTGCTACAAAATAACTAAAAAAAAAGTACCTAGAGTTACTTAATTAATCGGTACATAATAATATGCTCACTAATGTATGTATTTAAGTACTTATTTTCCAACTTTGTCACGACGTTCAAATAACTATAGTACAAGCAAGCCATCATCCTCGTCATACCCTCAAAAACCAGGCTTACGACTAAATAAACAATCCTAATATCCGACTCCATACTAAATCCCTTCCTTCTTACCCCATAAAAACCGTATATTTCCCTACTAAAGCATACCATAAACGCAATATCCCAAAGAACGATGCATCATTGTTTCTTTGTCTTATTCCAAAAGCAATAGAGTTGATAATAGCTTAATAGAGCTGTAAATATGTGAGAATGTTTGTGTTTATGTACTGCGTAATGTTTCCTAATTTCGCCATTAAAATATGGCGCACTTTAGTTTATTGAGATCCAAAGTTAATAACTCTGAAGATTGTTCGACTAAGCTTCGAAGCTGTGCCTTTTCATCAAATAGGCTTAAAATGTAGGCTTTCGATCAATAATAAAGTAACATCAAATATCGTGTATATCTTAATCTATAGGCTTTTCAATCGTCTTATGGACTTTGAAAATAAACTATTATAATTTAATTTAGATTAAAAGGTAAACTTCATTTAATTAGGTACTTCATTTTACTTGCAAACTTTTCCATACTCCATGAGCTCGAGCTTAATACCCCATGCTTGTTTTTTGAGTCTATCTAGCCCAGTGGTTCTTAACCTTTAAATCACGAGGGACCATTTTACCAAATTTTTGTCTTGTCAGGGACCACTTAGATTTTTTTCAAAATCCTATGAAAGGGGAGGTCGATTTCTCGCCCACTGTGCGCCGTTTGCGTGGTGTTGACTCGATTCATAACGTCACGTCACTTGTATATTACGATGTCTTCGTGGACCACTTGGGATGCCTCCAGCGACCACCAGTGGTCCGCGGACCACCTGTTAAGGACCACTGATACTTAGTCCTGTAATTTTTCTATTTTTTTATTGCATTTCCAACTCTATTACATTCCCAATTTTATCAAGAGCAACCCTAAATAACCGGCTATGAAGTATGTGCTCTGTGCAGGCAAACAACGATGTTCTTATGTAAGAACATGGTCCATAGAGTTATGGCCGCCGCTTGGCCGGCAGCCAGTGTCTTTAGCCTGATCACAACTGGACAGTATTTGTACTTTTTAGTATTATCAGGGACCAAACAATATTTTACAATACTGTGCTATTGGTGAGGGTTGGTTTTGTTCTGAGGCAATCGATACTCAGACTGACAGACGATAAAAAGCCAAAGATTGCTTGAGTACGCTGTACGAACTATATTACACTAACGAATATTGGCATCGTCAGGTCATTCAGTCTCCACTACAGGTGCATGACCTTCTTTAATTTACTAGAGGAAAATGTAGGATTTGGTCTACACGCTACTCTGCAGCGCTGGCCAGACAAGTTGCAATATTTTTCAGGAGTCTCCCAGTGACTTGGCCCACTTATAGCTTGGGCTACGGGCCAAATCACTGGATTGAATTTTTAAATATTTTTTCTTCCAGGAACTGGACCCACTCTAAGACTCTGGAGTAGATTTTTGTTGATTTGGTCTTTAATTTATTAATAAAAACATTGAAGGTGGGCCCAGTTACTGAAAGACTCCTGAAAAATATGGCACCTTAGGTACATGAAAAAAAATCAAAAAAGAAAACACAAAAAGATAAAATATAGAATTTTATTTTTGGATGTTTGGTGGTACAATGTCATACTAAAACGTATACATTTAAAATTGCGTTGCATATTTTTCCACATTTTCACATTATTTCTATACGGGGTTAGTTTGTATTGACATTATATAAATTTTACAGGAAAAAATATTCCAACTAAAGAATAAGTCAAAACCGGATTCATTAAAAGCAAATCTAACCCTACATAGTTTTCATCTCCAACTTTCAGTATAAAAAATCTATGAAAATGTTTATTTTTACTCATATTGAAACAAGCGAGGCTACTCCCTGACAAAGTCCCCCCCTCTCTCTCTCTTATTCTCAGCGAGATAATTGTATGCGGAACAGAGATACATAGATGGGCTCGAAAATACGGAAGCCGTAGGTAACCCGTTTGAGTTTGAGGATTGGCCTCGCTCTGATCTTTGGCCTTATATGGTTTCTTGCCTAATATCGTACCTACTTTGTATATGAATATAATTTACTTGAATAAAAACTTTCCAACATAGAAAAAATACATGGCAATAAGATGGGTCACAGTATAGAGACATTTGCATTTAAAAAAATGCTCAAAACTCGCTTCAATCTTAACAATAGATTCAAGTCTATGATAAGTAAAAATTTAGTCTTAAGACCAATCATAAGACATACACATTAAATTAAGTTTGAATCGAGTTTCAATTGTAATTACAGGCTTAAATATTAACCAATATTATTAAATACTGAATTCCTTCCTGAATAAGTTTAAAAAACTGTAAAAAAAAGATACGAATAAAAAAACATCAACCTACTACAAAATAATGAATTCCTTTAATTGATTTCGAACCTTGTATTTCAAGACAATTCAAATCATCGTCATTTTGGAGTAAGTTGAACTGCCTTCAGCTGGCTTTCTTTAGGTGTTTGGTTTAAAACAATTAACTAACTATCTACTTTACATTATTACAACTGCTTTAAAAACACTACTCGGTGAGATGTATAAGCTTACCTAAAAGAAAAGTTGCATTTACTCAAACAAAATCTAAAATAATACCCGTTTTATTTATATTAATATAACAAAATGAATTATGGCAGATTTAACTATTAATATTAAAGTTGCTGATATGTTAAAGTCTTTGAACCATTATTTTGAATTATTACAGATACTTTCTATTATAAAAAATAATAGCATTATTCTAAAATCATGTTCATTAGGCGATAAAAAAGGTTTTTACTTAACATGCATGCATATTACTAAAAAAAATTCCACTTTTGTTTTCAGCCAAGTATTTTACCTTAATCTATACACATGCTTTTAAAATAGTCATATCATGAAATACGCAATCTTTTACATTCTCCCCTAGACAAATAAACTCCGTATAAGTAAATATTTGTACAGAGAAAGCTCTTACTCTGTGATATTTCTACTTACTGCTATACAAAGTTTAAAGCTTAGTATTATGCTACACTTTACTTAGGCTGAGTTGCACCACCAAACTTTGACCGTAACTGTAAAGGTAACCGGTGTTTTTTGTATAGTTTGACAGATTTTTGACGTTTGTCAAAGTTAAAGTAAGATGGTACAACCCAGCCTTAGTCTTATACTAAAACAACACTCAAAGTTTAGACTCCGCTAAAATACAAAGTTGTACTACTTTGCAGGTAGGTATATCAACTGTACTATCAATCACTTAGTCCATTATTTTCTTGGTATTAGAACAATATAAAAAAAATCTGCAAGTAATCATCATTTTTTATTTACAAGGCAATTATAACTTATATAGAGTCTAAGGCTGAGTAACACCACCTTACTTTAACCGTAACTATTACTATAACTGGTGTTTATTATGGAGTTTGACAGACTTTTGACGTTTGTTATTGTTAAAGTAAGATGGTGCAACCAAGGATATAAGTATTTAGTATTTGGATGTTGCTTTAGACAACACATTTTACACCGTACTTAATAATAAAAACTTAGGCGAAACAATCATTCTTACAATAAATATCACTATCTATTTAATACTGCATGCGTACATTAATTTACATTCTCTTATTTCAACAATAGACCTGGTTTCCATCAAGGCAGAGCGGAGCAAAGAAGTGACTGATTAACCAATCATCATTCATCATCATCATCATTTCAGCCATAGGACGTCCACTGCTGAACATAGGCCTTCCCCAATGCTTTCCACGTTGATCGATTGGTATATGAATAACCAATCAGATTTAATTTTTCTCAGATATTCTCTTCTCCGCTCCGCAATGCGCCGCCGCCGCTGTCAAAATCTTTGCAAAAATTTGTCCAGGGATGTTATGGATATCCGTAACCGTAACCGAAACTTTCGGATACCCGAAATAAAAAAATTCTATGTAAGGTGTGCGGCCATGAATGAACCATGCTGGACAACTATTGAAAATTGCATTCTAAAGCACAGATATCCGTAACCGTACTAACCGTAACCGAAACTTTCGGATATCCGAAATAAAACAATATCTGTAACCGTAACCGAAACCGGTATAATATTATTCCTATATCCGTAACTGTATCCGTAACCGAAACTACATAGCCATAACATCCCTACGCACGACACTTCTCCGCTTTTCTCCGCTCCGCTTTTGGTGGAAACCGAGCCTTAGAGCCTTATACAGACAGCACATATAGTTATACGATATAGTATCTTATTCAGTTGTAACAGGTGCAATTTTGCTACAAATACGTGCTGTTGATAGTACACTAGAAGCGTGAGATATTTTTCTTTCAATATTTTTATTTATAAGTCCATCAGGTCACAAAATGTTTTTTTTTACACTCCCTGATAAACTGGTTTATCATAAACATTTTTTTTTATGTTTAAACATTTACGCAATCATTTAAAAGCTAACCATTCAAGTAACTGAAGAGCACTGAAAACCTGTAATAAATGCTAAGACAGACGAACCAAACCTTACATTATATTTTGGTTTCTAATAATTAGTACCTACATCTGTTTTATCGAATACCACTAGTCATTGGGGTACTTTTTATGCTAAAATCACTAAAACGAAGGAAGAAACACTTCTTTCTATCGTTTGTAGGAAATTCCCAAGTTTCACTTCACTTGTAGGTAGCGAGGTAGGACCAAACGAAAATTGACTTCAAAACAAAAAAAACTCTCATATAAAATGCATTTTATGTGTCCGTCTGTGTTTCCATATGGTCCATGTGTCTAGTAAGTTCAGTTTCTTGCTCTAAGTCACTGTGGCTGGAATCATTATCTGAAAACAAAAATTCAAATCAAAAATCAAATTGGAAAAAATATTCATTAATTTGTTTTTTTTTTTGCTTTAGTAAACGACGTTAAAGAAAATTAATGGATCGTATTTCAGTTTGGATTTGATTTTATAATTTATGAAACACTTTTACCCCAAAAATATAAAGTTTCCAATATGATGGAAACAGAAATTTTAATAAGATGATTTGATTAAGTTACTTGAGATTACACAGAATGTTTTATGATGACTGAATAAAAGATTCGTAAATTGTATTTAATTTTTATACTGTTGTAAATTAAGTTATTCGTAAGTAACCATTATTTTAAAATTTTTTATTCATCACCAGTGCATGAAAACATAACTTCTATTTTAAAATGGCGTTAGAGACACTCAATTTTATTATAATATTATGTCTTTTTTTTTGTTTTTCGTCTGACTCATTAATATCCATTTTTATAACAACTTGCATTCCAACTTTATTTCGGCACGTTTAGACAATTCGTTGCTAGAATAAATTATTATCAAGACCCGAATCGAATTCGAATAAACAATCTTTCAAAGGCGTTGAGTTCATTGAACTGGTTGTCGCGAGGTAGGTATAGGTTTCTATAGTTATTACCTAATTACACCCTTAATACTTTCGGCATCACACCGATTGTGATGCCGATGACAAACCACCTTCGTGGAATTGTGCTAAAATAAACTTTAACACGCTCACCTTGAGATCTAATATCCAACTCGAGAACAACTAATGAAGCATCGTCCAGCACCCCTGACCACCTAGCAGCTTGGACCTTGAACCCGCAGTGTTCCCTCACCACAACCGTGGGCCTACTTAAAATAAACTTTATCACCCTTATCATGAGGTCTAGTATCCAACGCGAAAACAGCTAGCGGAGCATCGTCCAGTACTCCTGACCACCTCGCAGCTAGGACTCTGGATCCGCGTTGTCCCCTCACCACGACCGTTGGCACCACGCTCGGGGAAATAAAAGACCCTCAAGAACGTATCGAAGGAAAATAAACTTTATTACCCTTACCATGAGGTCTAGTATCCAACGCGAGGACAGCTAGCGGAGCATCGTCCAGCACTCCTGACGACCTAGCAGCCAGGACCCTGAACTCGCGGTGTCTTTTCACCACGACTGTTGGCACCACGCTCGGGGAAATCGAAGACACGCAAGAACGTATTGAAGGATAATAAACTTTATGACCCTTACCATGAGGTCTAGTATCCAATGCGAGAACAGCTAGCGGAGCATCGTCCAGCACTCCTGACCATCTGGCAGCCAGGACTCTGGATCCGCGGTGTCCCCTCACCACGACCGTTGGCACCACGCTCGGGGAGATGGAAGACCCTCCATACATGGACACGCCTACATTTCTGCGTAGGATTGTACTAAAACAAAAAGTTGACATCATAATTTGAGCCAGTGAACGGCAGTCCAGATCTGAACGTCTGCCTCCCCATAAAAACCTAAGTTAGCTAGATAGCGAGAAACAAAAATCACTCTATCTCGAAATATCTAAGTCTTAGCTTTCCAAAAATCTCTTTATCAAGCAGGGGACGTCAACAGGCCTTCTCCTACAATTAATAAAACGACAGGTCCTGCGCTTACTGCATTCAGGTTCTCTCCATGATCTTCACTAGTTCGTGGTCACCACTCCAGAACTTTTCTACCCCAGTGGCCACCAGTTTACGAGCTATGTACCCTTACCACTGCAACTTAGTGTGGCGATCTAGAGGCAATGCCTGTTACTTGGTTCTCTCACAGATCTCCTCATTGCTACGTTTAAACCACACCCAATACCTAGCCTGTTCACATACCTTTGCTCAGGGTCGCGCCGTGGAGTCTTCTTCTTACACATGACCACCAGCGTCACGCACAACGTGGTCAGTATTGTCAGCAGTACCAGCGACAGTGCTGCCCCAGTTAGCAGGGCCACGCTGTTGTCGGTCACTGATGGTGGGGGAGGTGCTGGAGTCATGGTTTGGAGGGAACCTGGGTATCAAACATGAGTTATGTGATTTGAGATCATTTCAGATTTTGTTATATGTATTACATAACTGTCCAGTTTTTATTGGCGGTCAGGATGTAGTTCTCGTTATCTCGTTCATAATATGACATTATGTTGGCTGTACCTTGTAATTATTCAAATGAAGCCTATTTTGTGCGTTGTGTTATTGCGTTGTTTACTTAAAAAGTCACTATAAACGCTAGTTGAAACACATTTCTTTTAAGCTTTAAAGTTTTTGTTTAATTGAAGATGAATGGATGCGAGCGGTGCAGAACCGGTCTCTGTGGAAATCCTTGGGGAGGCCTTTGTCCAGCAGTGGACGTCTTTCGGCTGAAACGAACGAACCAAGAATAGTATTTTCCCTAACCCACTTTTTTAATAACCATTTATTTAATTCAGGGTACATGAAAAGCGCATGAATTAACGAAACGAGTGGGCACTATAATGTAATGCGGCCTTTTCATTAGCTACCCTCTTCCATCCTATCACGCATCCAATAAGCCCTCTAATCTAATTGCACCGGTTCGCGGCAAAAACCGCGGCGATATGTTTGTTAATCAGCTAAGTGCACGTGTTTACTCGGTAAGTCGCTCGAAACAACGTACCTTTCGTCGGTTCAGCGATATCCGTGTAGGGTGCGTAGAACAGCCAGTTCAGTGGCTATTCTTTCGTTCGTTAAATCTACTGCTGGACAAAGGCCTCCCTCAAGGATTTCCATAACGATTGGTCCTGCGCTACTTGTATCCAGGCTCTTCCCGCGACCGTCGGTCTACCTAGTAGGAGGCCTGCAAATGCTACGGCTTCCGGCCCGTGGTTGCCACCCGAGAACTTTTCTACCCTAGTGGCCATCGTCTCTACGAGCTGTGCCCTGCCCACTGTCACTTGATTGTAGCTATTGCAAAGCAATGCGAAGAAAGATGGAAATATGGATGAAGATATTCGTAACTTTTATGCATTCGATACCGTTTTCATGAGTAATTAAAGCGAGAAAGTATCGATAAATGTTTTCGATTNTCGAATATAGTATGATATCCCATTATGTATCAATAAAATACCAAGCTTTCAAATTATCAGAAAAAAAAACAAATCGAAGTGTTCAATATGAACTGCACTAAAAATACCTGAAACTCTACGACTTTAAGCAAGGACTGATAAACTAATATTGGCTTTGTCTTTACCCTTTATATCGGACAGCAGGTGTTTTTTAACTTGCTGTATAAGTATGTAAACAATGGCGTACTTTGATCGATTTATTGAATTTTCTTTCTCGATGCTTTTACAGTTTTAAACTGATATCTTAACTGAATGATCCAAAAACTAGCTGTTATAGTCTACACTGTGGTGCCAGCTAAAAAATAAACGCGCTAAATATTGGCGCTGTGCCGATCGAGTGCTAGGTTTCATGTTTTATATGGAGAACCTCTTGATAACGGAGATGGATAGAGCATCAAGCCTCCATCCACTTTTGAAAAATTTAAAAACGGCAAAATTGAAAATAAATACTGTTGGAGTTCGGTTTTTTGCTGGATTAAAATAGTTAACCACTTGTGAATGTGATAGCTTACAGTGTACTAGAAAAACACGATTGCATCACATCATTTTTTTTTCAATTGATATCGTGAACTTTCAATGTGTATCAGGTTGAAATACCTGATTACTTGCTAGTGTAAAATGTAAGACATTGAACAATACACCCCAATATTCGGAGACAGTAACCACTACATAAAAAAATCCTCAGTAAAGACCAACAAAGTGTACAGTAGTGTTCCCAGATTTAAATTGGTTTCGTAAGCTTGATTTGAAAGATGTTGCTGTACCTCGGAGAACTAGTTAATCCATCTGACCACCCAGCTGGATTTAGCTCATTCGGACATCTGTATAGGTAGATCATAAGATCGGTATTGCACATGATAGTATAAGAAAATGGAAAGTGGACTTACCAGGGACATCCAAGTCATCAGCGGTTCTTATAGTCACACTATGTAACGCTGCTGGTCGAGTCGACCTTCCCATCGGTGTTTCCGCGTACACCATCAAAGTGTACTTCCCAGGAGGTAGTGGATCGAGAGCGAACTGCGGCTTGTCGTTGACGACGCGGTACACCGCTTCGGTGAGACCTCGCCCGGAGATGCCCTGGGGAAAACTAGCTGATATAGTCATTATTATAGTTGACTAAATAGGTGCTACGACAGATTAGTAAGCTGAAGTGCAACGGGCAGGGCACATAGTACGTAGAACTGACGGTCGATGGAGCAGCAAGGTTCTGGAGAGGAGGCCACGTACCACGTACACAAGGTGGACCGACGACCTCATAAAGGCAGCAGGATGGCGCTGGATACATGCCGCTACCAACCGGCCTTTGTGGAAATCATTGTACCTATGTTCAGCAGTGGACGTCGTATGGCTGAAATGACGATGAAATAGGTGCTAAAATTGTTTTTTATAATATCTGATAGGTACTCAGTAACAAAAGATTTAGTAATGTGCTATAAAATAGTGTCGGAAAAGAGGAGATCGGTGCAAAAGATTAGTAATAGATGTGACCCGAGCCATCCTAAAATTGGACATTCGACCGCGACTCCGTCTCAGGCTACGGCTCGTTCTTGGACGAGCCCCTCCGGCTTCGAGGGGAAGCCCTTTATTTTATACGATTAATAGCTGTTAGGTATGACTATATTGTGTATTGAGTAGAATGGTAGTGTATGATGGTGGTAGTGGATGATTGTCTCTATACCAGGGGTTCCCAGTCTTTTTCATCCCTCGGCGCACTTACAAAAGTATTTTGTCACGGCGCCCTACCCTACGAAAAATATACAGTCGAAAGACGGGCAGGTAAAGACATGTGAGGGGTAGGGTATCAACGGTTTTGAAGCGCTAATGCGACGTAAATGATTGACTCGCGGGGCACCAAGGACACTTTGGGAACCCCGGCTCTATACTAATGGTATGTAATGGTAAAGCAGATCACTGCACGCTCTCACCTGGTCGTACCTCCAGGACCCGCAGCAGGAACCTCTAGGCTTCCCCGTTGTGGCCCCGCATTATAATGACCCTATGTTAAGTAGTGACGTGTGGAGTTAGTAAAGCAGATCACTCCACGCCCTCACCTGGTCTTTTAGCGTGGAGATCTCATTGTGCCTCCAGGGCCTCCAGCAGAAACCTCTGTTTCAGCTCCCCATCATGGTCCCGCACTTTATAATGACCCTATGTTAAGATAGTGACGTGTGGAGTTAGTAAAGCAGATCACTCCACGCTCTCACCTGGTCGTTCAGCGTGGAGATCTCATTGTCTTGCACTGGCGCCGCGGGGCGTACCTCCAGGGCTTCTAGCAGGAACCTCTGGGCCAGCCCTCCGTCGTGGCCCGGCTCGCAGCGGAGGACTTCGTTCTGGATCTCACAGTTGCTTGGCGGTTCGGGGAGGGCTGTAGGGAGTTTGATAGGGAATGTTTTGAGTGTGAAAGTTGATTGACGTTAAAATTTTCACTCATGTTTTTATGTGCTTTTGAGCTGTGCTTGCAGATATCTAGCTAGCTAAGATGCAGATATCTAGGTGGGTTTTTTTATTCGTAAAGTGCTAAAGATATAAACGCTTGGGAAGACTTTAAAAAGGCACATAATAATAAATCTTAAAGTGCTTATTTGACACATAATTACCAGATTTGTATTGATCACACATCTTAATGGTTAAAATGTAGACAATTAAATGTAGACAATGAACAATCGTTATATGAGACCATCTGACATCGAAGTTTTTTGCCGATCATATTGGTTCCTTCTTTCGATTTGATTTCGATGATGTACTCATAGGTGCAGTAAAACTTCTAAAATGACCCTCCACCTAAATCATAACCAATCTGCTTACCGGCGGGCATAATCCTAAACAAGCAAGGCTCTCTCTGATTGCCTATATCGTTGCTAGTCCAACAGGCCAGCCAGCCCAGGTCGTCGTCAATATTTTCTGAGGGTAGACCATGAATGACTGTGCTGATGGTACCCATTACTGTTATGTTTGATGCTGGGATCTGGAAGAGAGAATCCTGTCAAAACTACCATCATGAATATGGGAGAGTTTAGCGAATGAGTTGAAAATATTGAATAGTGAAAAAAAGTGTTCTAATTGGGTGCCAAAACTGCCAAGTTCGATAGATTATGTTACATGCGCTTGGGTTCTTTTCCATGGCAATATAGTTTTGCGGGATACTGTACTATTAGAGTATTAATAGAGAGAGTTTTAACAATACTCTTATAATTGAACTGGATCATGATTTTTACAAGTCCAGTTTTAATGCGGGACTTTACAAACGGAATGTTTGTGGAATGTTTAGTATCAAGATACGGTATCCTGCAAAAGATAGTACCTATGAAAAATAGTGTGTCCCCGTAGGAAGCCCTATTCGAAGTTATTGAATACCTATCATAAAGTGCAAGTTATAGAGATGATGAAACTCACCGGCAATACATCCCTCGTGCCATTATATGTCCAGTAGAAGTGCAAAGGGCCCGCGTCCCTACTCGACGGAGCACTGACGGAGCACCGAGCCCTGACCTCGCCGCCAGGGGCACCGGCTATCTGTTGCACCACGCTGCCTGTCGCGCATTCTGGGCGGGCTAGAAGAAGGTAGAGACCGGTCAAGTGCGAGTCGAAGAAGGTTTCGTTTCAGCTAAGAATTAAAACAATATTTTCTTAATAATAAGGAAACAAAAATCGGATAAGCACGTTACATTATCACATTTTTCACATTCAGTATTTAAACCAAATTTGATGCCCTTGTTTAAGTTTTAGCCTGCTAAACATCACAACACACAGTCCTGCCGCTGCTTTTGCCAGAATCAAATGTAAATTTTTCATGAACTTTCATAAACTATGTCCAATTTTTTATCGTTCGTTCATTCGTTTCAGCCAAATGACGTCCACTGCTGGACAAAGGCCTCCTCCAAGGTTTTCCACAATAGTTTACTTTGTAATGAAACAATATTGATGAAATAGTTCCTTAAAAATACTGCATCTGAATGTTGCTGTCGTATAGTTTGCGATAACTTTTTCAGCACTGATAAGCAGGTATTGCTTAGGAAAGTCTAACTTCAGTAGTTATGATAAAAAGCTATAATCAGTATCTTTTCTTTGGTACTCACAAAGCAGATTCAAGGTCGTCAGTCTACCTTGTGGGTGGACGTCGTACGTTGCGCTTTCTAGTCCTTACCAGAGGCTAAGAACAGTTTTTTCTTTGGTACTCACAAAGCACATTCAAAGTGAGTGGCTCACTCAGCGCACTTCCCTCAGAGTTCCTCGCCCGGCACCGGTAGATCGCGGAGTGGTGCCTCCTAAGCCCTCTCAGGATCAACTTGCTGCCCTCCACTGCTATCCCTNCTATTCCCCCGATGGGGTCGTCACGTATCAAATGCACCTAATTAAAACAAAATTATGTATGTAACTTAAATTATACAAAATAATCTATACTTATAATATAATAAATGCGAAAGTAACTCTGTCTGTCTTGCTGTCACGTCTAAACCACTGAGCGGATTTTGATGAAATTTGGCATAGAGATAGTCTGAGGACGTAGGATAGTTTTTATCCCGGTTTTTGAAACAGGGACGCGCGCGATAAAGTCTTTCTGTGACAGTCAAAATTCAACGCGGGCGAAGTCGCGGGTGGAAAGCTAGTTTCAATATAAACCGTCTTCCTAATAATTGGATCTAGCCAGCATGGGCAATGTAGAACAAACCCTCTATTTGCCTCTATGGGAATATTCCCACCTCACGTTGCCACCGCTGCAATTCCTGTGTGACCAGGATCTACAGCTTGACAGTCAATAAAAAGCCAACTAAGGTCAAGTTGGTTCCTAGTAAGTAATTAGAGAAGATTGAATCACCGCTTGATGATAATGCTTTTTTTTATTTAGAGTTTTTATCTAAAAGGATAATAATATGTCAGCAAAATTATGATGCCATTTATTATTTAGTTTAGATTATTTACTAAATAAGCATTGCGTGCTATAAATGACTACGAGTATATTGCCTGAAAATCTTATAATCTAATTCAAATTAGGTAATTAATTTTCTATCAAAAACTTAACTAGCAAATCAAACTTAATAGCTGAATAAATCTTTGATGTTGGTTTTATTTTATAATTTCACCAAAAAGCAACGAAGAAAAATAATTTTCCTCACGCTTTATAATAATTTCTACAGAAAAAGAGTTGCTTTGTGTAAAACCAAAAGCAAAGTTTTTCTATAAAACCAATTATAACATTTTCCAGATTTTATTCTCACACTAATATTCCTGGACATAATAGTCGGTTATTATAAAGTTATTTTCCGTTATAACAAATTGAATTTTCATAACGTTATAATTAAAATAACATTAGCTTAGCACGTGACACGCCACTCGGGGCTTACGTACGTGAAAGAAATTTTCTGTTTGCATGAAAAATCGTTTCTGAGGTGCAAAATAAACTGTAAGATTAAGTCCCACCATCAAAAACGCTACCAAGTGAGGCAATCACGTGTTTTTCAAGCTTTAAGTCGAGCTTTGGAAGCTTTAAATGTCTTAATTTAAAAGTGAAGTAGATAGCTCATTTTTGTGATATCGTGAGCTGAAATTACAGGTCCTGACAAAATAATAGGTCCTGGCGAATTACTTACTTAAGTGGAACGAGTAACATACAAAGTATTTGTAATTTTACATCAAAGCATAGAAAATGAAGCAAGAAAATACTAAATTAAGCAATTAAAAAAGATTAAGAATATTTTTGTTAACCTTCTGTCACTAAATTGTATCCAAAAAATATGTTCAAAATTAAGAATAAGAATAAGAAATTTATTCATAATGTTCATTACATATCAAATTTTCAATATATTTTCTTATTAATAATAAACAATTGCAGTATTAGATAATAAGAAAGAAATGCACATCATGTCCAAATAAATAAATTAATAATACAAATAGAATTAATGTCAATTAAATGTCAAAATAAATAGTGGGTAACAGTGTCAATAACAATTCAATTTCCAAACAGTTCGTCAATTTTATAGAACGCCTGCTCGATCAACCACTTTTTTAATTGAAATTAAGTTGGGACCTTTGGGACTTATCCAGTTTTTGTGTTTGAGGGGTTATTGGTGGTGTAAAGTAGAACTGCAAATTAAAGATTACCTCAGTTCCCTTGTAAAAGGTAAAGTTGGTTGCAGGCGGTGATGCGTCAGCCGAGCAGAGCAGTTCAGCGTTCTCGTCTTCTCTTAGCATACGGGGATCTTTGGGCTCTATCAGCGATATTTGCGCTACTGGCGGATCTGTAACAAATATAAATTGTTAAACTAAGTAGAATGATCGATTGGTAGCGGCCAGCGTACAGCGCTTTATGATGCTGCTACCTTTATGATGTCGTCGACGCAGGCCGCTACCAATCGATCAACATGGAAAACATTGGGGGAGGCCTATGTTCAGCAGTGGACGTCCTATGGCTGAAATGATGATGATGATGAAATAAAGTAGAATAGTTAGCGGAGTAGAAGTATTGGCTGTCGAAGAGTTTTTGAAAGGGACTGAGAGTGTAGGGCCTCCTGATTCATGGGGTCATGAGAATAATAGATTAAATTAACGTTTTGTAAGTCCATGTTATTAGCAGCTAATAGATTTATAATATACATTTTTGACGCGGGCTTTGACTATTACATAAAAGGTGTCAAATGGTGTGACGAAATGAAGACGATCAAAACAAGTTGTTAGAAGTTTTCCAGCAATTTGTTTGACCATAATAAGTTTGGTGTGATTTTCGTAGCATAATTAGTTGTATGTAACAATGTTACGTAGGTAACTACTTCGCTAAATGAGTAAAAAATGTGCAGTCGCAAAAATCTTTTTGTAACCCATAGTTCGATATTAAACCAGACTCATTTTATTCCATTTTTATTCCATTGGCTCATTTCGCATTCGGTATCCGTAATTAAAATAACACCTTTACCGATAACAAAGAACAATTAGCATCAATTAGCAGAAGATGCAGGCCAATCACGGTTTAAAATTGAACAAAGCCGGAACGGAATGGTATTCGGCAGGCAGCCGGCGAAATTGTTTATTCCGCTCACGGCATCACTGACAAAGTCTGCCCAGCCCGCACCAACACTTGGCCAAAGAATAAACGCTGAAATACGTTGTTCAGTCGAATGCACATTTAACTATACATTTTTGTAGCAACAGCATCCATTATACTATAATCCGGGCATTTTCAAGGCGAGAGTGAATAGGCACTTACAGAGAAGATTATGTTCCATCCTAGACCGCATCTCACTAACACCAGGTGCGATTGCGGTCAAATAACTGCCTTGCCATGCATTAAAAAAAACTACTTAGGATACCACAGCAGCTTGATATGATGGCGTCTTTAGAAACAATCATCAATCATCATCATCATCATCATTATAGTTTTTGTCGAACTGTCTTTAATATTCGTAAAATTCTACTACTCTAAAATCGAGTCTCCAATTTCGTTCCAAGCTAGTACCGTCCACTGCTGGACAAAGGCCTCGTCCAATACAGTACGTCGAATTTCTATTTTAGTACGTCGAATACTCGCTTCAAAATTGATTTTCGAAGGTTTCACCGAAATTCAAATCAATTTATCTGTCGTTATTTTAGATAAACAATTATGGCTAACTACTTGACGAAGTCTAATTTGCAACAGATATTGCTAGAGTAATTTAGAAGAAACCATTAGGTTCGCTAAATTAATGAACCAAAAGATATCCTATCAACTAAAAGCCTTACTTTCTGGGAAATATTATTTAAATAAGTTAAGTTGTTTTGAGCATAACAAAGGCAAATTATGAAGTAGGTAAGATGATTCTTACTGAATATCAACTCTTTGAATACTAAGGTTGGCCGCTTAAATTTGGGTGTAATTAGGCATCATAGTATTATAATAATTATGTAGTATCCTTATGCAATTGATAGAGTTTCACTTCTGTACCTTTTATTCTATGCCATCAACCATGTCTAGGGAGTAGGTAACGGTACAATTATTACATTGTTTGTTTGTTTTGCAAGTCGTATTATTGCGTTTTGTACGTGCATAAAATAATTTCGTTGAAATAAAGTTACTATATTTTTCACGGACAACTTCGAAAGTTATCGCACTGCGAGAAATACAACCCAGGTGTTGTTATTAAACTTCGAAAACGAAATAATACACAGGGGACTCGCGTGACCGTGATTTATGTCCTTTTTAGTGTGTATTTTTGAATAATTTCACAAGTTTTGAAATGGGAAATGTTTATAAAATAAACTTTGCCGGGAATTTTTCTAACATTTGTTGCTAGCTGCAGAAACGTTTTGCAGATAGTGGGTAAGCTTGCTGTATCATTTTCCAGTACAAATCTGGTTTTTCACTCCTCTTTGCCTTGTGCCATTCGGTTGATAGTGATCTTTGAACTAGTAAAGCTGAATAACCCAAAGTTCTCTGGCTTAAAATGTACCACTTACTATTGATTCGTACCTGCAATGTCCTTATCAAACAGGGCACAATTCGAAAGGATATTTCAATTTGCATTCCCTTCCTTTGATTTGACCCTCACGTATCAAGAGACCAACAATCTAAGCACCTCTTTTTTGAAAGTAAAAAAAGAGAAAATCACTCAAGTTGCTTACTACAGTCGAGTTTTTTAATAAAGGCCCAGTTTATTTCAAGTAAACCGTCGCTTAAGCCCGTAAAAGATTTCTTAAAACGTATATAGCACTAAAAGCGACAAGGCGAGGTTCGTACCAAATCTGACACCTCAAGTTACATTGCAAAGATACACACCACAAGGCAGTAACAGATTGGGCGTTTTTCCACGCGATCCATCCCTTTTCTATAGACCTGCCTATCATTTGTCACTGTGGCCTTTACAGCGTCACAGGGTGAATGTTAAATGTGCTTTTTTCCCGTCGAGTGAACCCCACATGCTGTAAAATAGAACAAAAACGGAGCTTTTGTTGCTCAAATTTTTATTTAATGAAGTTTTGTTTCATGAATTGCACTGATTTGTTCAGAATTATGAAATAGCAACAACATTCCTATAAGTGGCCTGAAGAAACTTTTTTCATAGCATTCTTCTTCAAAGCTAGACACAGACTGTTACCGATTGTAGTATTATGTTTTTTTGGCAGATTTATGTAAGTCAGCAAAAAACTTATTTCATGTAGCTGTACAGTGCCTGCCACAAAAACCGCCCTATCTGTAAAGCGCTAAGAGTACGAACGCGACATAATAACGCGCAACAAGACCCGCCCGCGATAATATTTAAACTCGGGACAAAGTTGTTGGCACACAGCTCAAACCGCGCAACTAGGGCTGCTAGGAAATTGCAATTGTGATTACACAGAATATAAAGTTGTTATAATCGAATTTTCAGTTGTAGAACATTTTTTTTTATGGAACAGTAATCAATATGTAGGCAGCTTATCGAACAGCTCCTGTTTTAAATCAATCAGTTCACCGATACGTTCAGTGACTTTCTGCAATATTTGGATTTTGCTACATAGCTGTGACTATTTTCTTTTCTCTTCGCTTTTTTGGAATATTTCAGCCTTTATTTTCATTTTTCTGTAAAAAAAAACACTGTTTGCGTGCGACCAACAACATGATAAAGTAATAAAGTCTTTAATGTGTATGTGTTATAGTCAAACCTCGAAGTTCCAGCACTCCTAGGTTTGACTAGTAAATCCTCAGGTCTGACTAGAAGTCTTAGTCAAAGCCCAAACATTTCGGCCTTTGACTAAATAATGTTAGTCAAACCTAGGAGTAACTAATTTGGTAAGGCAAAGGTCGAAACTCAATTTCATGAAATCGGGGTTTGACTAGTCAAACCTCAATTAAGACTTTAAACTAAACTGTACTTAATTCTGATCTCGAACTTATTGTAAAGGCGTTACGACGGTCGGTTTTGACGCTCTTTAGGTGAAGGTACGAGTAACTAAACTTATACAATACTAAGATTGTTTGTTAGTGTTTCTAGATCGATTTTGATTAATTACTAATTTTTAGGGTTCTGTTACCTTAAAGGATAAAGAGTTTAGACCCTATTATTATGACTTCGCTAAATGTTTTCTGTCACCAGGCTTGTATCTCATGAATCATTTACTTTAAAAATAAATAATTCAATAAAATACTTAAATATTTAAGGGGGGCTCCCAAACAGCAAACGTGACTTGTTGTAGTTTTCTACTTGATATTAAAACGTTAACAGGTGAACCCTTGAAATATTCACATAATATTAAGTTGCATATCTATTTTATAAAAAAATCATAAAATTAAAATAAAATAATTATTTAAGGGAGGCTCCCATACAACAACAGAGTCGTACGGCACCCTTCGTGAGCGAATCCGGCTCGCACTTGGCCGGTTTCTATTTGCCGTCTACTTTTGACCGAGTCTGCCAGTCGTTTCTAGGATTGACTAGGCAAAGCCCGAAACAGATTTATTTTAGTTTCGACGTTTGACTGAACCGTTTAGGCACTTCTAGGTTTGAATTAGTCAAAGGCCGAAATAATAATTCACTTCGGGGTTTGCCTGAAGGCCTTACTCAAACCTAGGATAGACCAGTCATTCCGCGAAGAGACTGCATTTCGACCTTTGACTATGACATATGAACAAAGGTTACAAGGGTTCTTATAAATAGGTAACAGGCATCTCTTAGTTCTACCTTTTCAGGTGTATACACTATACAATATACACGTATTAATGATAATTCCATAATTATCCTTAATTTTCCCAAACTTTTCTCAGTCTTGGACAGCCCTGGACTGGCCGGAACTCCCGCTCCCTATCTCGTGTGTGGCGCGCTTTTGATATATTGTCCGTGGTTTTTAGTGGATCCGTTTTTGTTTTTGCCGCGCGACATTATTTTGTCCTCAATTGTAAAGTGCAGTTTAAAACAAGGAATTATTAATTGTAGCTTATTAATGCTTTTTGTTGGATGGACCGGATTTTCAGCTGTTTGGAATGTGTGCAATTAATAAAATTAAAAATTTTCATCAACGTTAATTAAGTTATTTTGTTTTAAGAGATAATTAAATGGCAACAGCGTCAACACAGGACGTAATTATTATGAATATTTCAACTGTCCAGCATGACGAAAATGTATAAAAGTTTTGTCTTTTTAGCAGCAACTGATCCAAAAGCGAGGAAATTCTTACCTTTGATTTAATCCTTCGTATACCTACTCGTACTGATAGATAGCTTCATTCATACCTTTCGTTGCATTTTGAAGTTTAAATACAAAAGGTTTGGTCAATAAAAAGAGTAGGTAGAATAACTCTATGGACTAAGATATTTCGGATTTGATTTCTTGGTGGGCCACACCTATTTTTGAGTAACTTTTACACGTTTAATCAGGAAACCTCTAACTTGAATTAACATTATATTTTAGCACATTAAGCCATCTCTTCGGTGGCTCTTGAAGCCTTACACCAATGTTAACTTACGCCCGTATTCACAAACGATGCTTGCATAAGTAACGCAACAAATCGAACGCACAGCATTTAATAGAACTCTGTGATTGGTTCGCGTGTGTCTGTGCACTCTACGAGCACTGTGAGAACTCATATTAATGTTTGTGAATAAGGGTGTAAGATATTTGGGGTTTGATTCCTTGGTGGGCCACACCTATTTTCCAGTAAGTTTTAAGCGTTTAATCAGAAAACTTATAGCTTAAATCAACCTATTAATAAACAGACTAGACCATCTGTTCGGTGGCTCTAGAAGCCTTATACTAATATTATCATAACCTTTACAACTAATACTAAAAAGAGAAAGCAAGGACTCACACATAACGTTAAGCATCACAGAGTCTTCCAGCGTGTAGGCAGGGAACCAGGGGTTGGAGACGCGGCAGACCAGCTGCCTGCCACTGTCTTCTCTCCTGACGTGCCACGTTAGCTCGCTCTTAGTCACTTCGCCGTCGACATCCATCTAAAACCAATGTTTTTATATTAATACAGTTAAACGATACTACGAGTACTTGCTGAGAACTCAAAACTTTCGAAACTGATGCTTTCAATTTCGATATTTAAGTTTAAAACGTTTGCTATCTATTTAACTTTTAACTCATAAAAGCACATAACTTTTAAGTCTGTATAACCTCTATTCATTCTCAATCATAGATTACCTTGTGATTGGTCTAAAAATTCCATCAATAACTTTTTATTTAAAACTTTTCTTTATCTCCGAATTTCGTTCTTATTACCTTCAGCAGTCGGATAACACGCTTTTTCTACTACTCATTTAAAAACATAATAATAAGCCCGTAATGTATTTTTACTGCCCCAAACAAAGAAAAAAAAAACTTTAAAAAAGTTAGTAAGTTTTAAGCTACCTTATTCTGCACAAAAAAAAAACCTAAACATCGCATAAAATACAAAATTAAACACTCGTATACAGAAGATATAGTATACTGTTCTATTAAACTAATTTCCATAATACAACACAACGGTCGTTAGCAACAATTAGTATAAAATCAAAATCCACCTGAGTCAAAGTGGAGTCGACGAGCTGCGAGTTGATGAACCAATCGATGTTCGGCGGCGGCTTGGAGCCACGCGTAGTGCATACGAAGGATCGGTCCTGTCCGGCCCGGACGGCGCCTTTGCCGGACACCCGGACGAATTGCGGCTTCACTGCGGACGATAGAATGTTAGGAACAAAACAATTTCGATCTGATCGATTCTAACCGGTTAGAGGATGCGCAAATGTAGACACTTTTGCTTTAATCTCCACTAGCGTATTTTTAAAAAGAATCGAACCAGCGGTCCTCGGATATTTTTTCTTATACTTATTTATTAATTTGGACCAAAAACAGATTTACATTGAAATTTTAAACCTTACAGGCAAGTTTTTTATAGCGCTTATCATGAATCCAACATCTCTAGTCACAATTTAAAATAAAAAATGAATACTTACAAAACAATTTCACCGTGACCTCCCTAACTATAGGCTGCAGTAGCGGGGGTTCCACTTTGCAATGGAGTCGTGTTCCTGAGGTCTCCCTTGATAAACTCTGGAGTAGGAGCTGGCATACGGAGCCTCCTTTGGTGATGGCCAGCCGGTCGTTGCCGTTCCACCAGGACACATCGGGTGGGGGTTTTCCTGGAGGAAAAATATTTGTGAGCTGTATTTTGGACGGGGCATAATAGCTCTTAGTGCCGTTAGAAGAAAAGTTCAATGTGTGTCAATCACGGGCCGGAAGACGTAGTGTGGGCAGAAGATCGTCGGTCCATCGGCGCAAGACCGGTCGTAGTAGAAATCGTTAGGGGAGAACTTTGTTCAACAGTGGACGCTATTTGATTGAAACGAACGAACTTTATTTAAAAGTAATGTTTGTAGAATTAAAAAGCTTTTGTTCTCGGTTTGCTCGTGAACATTTCGGTCTGACTTTATCAGGCGAACGCGATCATATCTATCCATTTCATTTACCAAAATTCACTCTCAACTATCTATTAGGAGTATACTCTAAGGCTGAGTTGCACCACCTAACTTTAACGATAACTATGACGATAACCGGTGAATTTTGTATGGAGTTTGACAGATTTTTGACGTTTGCCAAAGTTAAAGTAAGATGGTGCAACCCAGTCTAAGGGTGGATTGCACCATCTTACTTTGACAGTAACTATGACGATAACCGGTGCTTTTTGTATGGAGTTTGACAGATTTTTAACGTTTGATAAAGTTAAAGTAAGATGGTGCAACTCAGTCTTAAGATTCAGTTTCATTCAGTTGCGATTTTTTTCATAAGATAACCTGTAAGTTATTTTAACTTACAACATTTTTTTGTATTTTAATTGAAAATAATTTAATTTTAAAAGGCGCTTTTACCTCCAGCGGCTGCGCAGGACAGCAGCAAATCCTGACCTTCCCTAAAAGGTCCGGCGATGGGACCTAGAATTTCTCTGCCCTCGGAGTCGTATATCCGAGGCGATTCTGGCGGAACTGAAAGAAATTATCTATGTAATATTTTAATTCCTTTACTAAATTTTCCATGTTCAAATATTTTTATCATCATCATTTCATGTGGCTGAAAATGATGATGATGAAAATGAAGGAGTAGGTACGTCTAGATTGCTGAACATAGGCCTCTCCCAATGATTCCACATCGCCCGGTTGATAGCGGCCTGCATCCAACGCCTTTCTTTATGAAATCTTTCAATACTTTCGATGTTATAGAATCGAATTTATCGACCTCTATTAAACTTATAACTTCCCTCGACTACTTAGTTGCTGTTTTTAACTACAAAATCAGTGTAGGTAAATAGGTTACTTTGAAAATATGCCCGATTAACATTCGGTGTTTGATATTGTTTTGAAGCTCAGACAATAAACGCAGACTGTAAAACGTATGTTAGTATTTAAACAATTTACTATAAAAAGTAAAAAGGATTACATCATTTTAATAATAACTAAGCTATTCAATAACTCACCTATAACAGTCAAATTCACCCTATAATTCCTGGTAGGGCTGTCCACATAGTCTATTCTACACCTATACATGCCCTCGTCGTGGTGAGCCACCTTCTCCACTGAGAGGTGGGCCGACGATGGGTCAGACTCGTTTAGAACGAAGTGGGTTCGGGTCCCGAACTCGCCGGCGACTGCCCAGTGGACTGGCGGCCCGTTTCTGAAGTCGACACTGTAAAGAAAAAGTTCATTTAGTTTCCACTGCTCGTTCAGCCAAATGACGTCATCTGCTGGACAAAGGCCTCCCCATGGATTTGCTCAACGATCGGCTCTGCGCTGCCTGCATTTTTATTTAATTTTATTTTTCTTTATTCAGAAAAACAACAGTATAATAATAATACAAACAGGTATTTTTGTTCCTACAGCCAACAATGGATTCTATATATTATTACAATCTCGTAAAAAACAGTCAAAGGGGCATCTTGGTACTACCCGCAACCTTTACCAGATCGTCGGTCCCCCAATGGTTTCCAGAATGACCGGTTAGTAGCGGCCTACCTCCAGCACCTTCCTGCTATTTTTATGAGGTCGTCTGTCCACCTTGTGGGGGTGTTTGTATACTGCATGAAAATAGTATGTTGTCTAATTTTTTGAGATGCGGCGTATACATTTTACATACATACGAGTAGGTATACTAAAAATGTATTGAGAGATTCCAAACGTAAACTCAATATATCCGCACTCAATCGCATACCCTCTTGATTTGCCTCTCTTATTCATAGCCTGAGTTACATAACAATAACTCATGGTGCTTAACACAAAAGGCGAAAGCTTTACTATCACATAAATTCAATAAATGCATCCAGAACGCAGCCAAATATTTAATTCATGTCGCGCTCCTGCCAAAAGTACAATACCACCAAGTGACTCACACTTTAAAACCCAGTAGGAAGGAAGCAATACAGTCTACAATAGTGATGGGACCGATCTGATGTACAAGTATCGATAACATTGTGTAATGTGATCCAAGACCAATACGTTTGCATTTTGACGATGCACACAGTTCAAACTAAACAGCTTTTAGTACCACTTGGTACAACATAATCACATTCTCATTATAGTGCTATGTCTGTTGTTAGACCATAATTGGTTGAATAAAATAAAGCCCGGTATCTCTTTATGCTGTAATTTAAAAAGAGTGAGAATAGTTTAAAATATTGATAATAGAAATTTATGGCATTGTCTGTAAAATAAAACTTTACTGACTTCGTTCGGACAGCGCGTATTTCAAATACTTTCAGAAATCGTACCATTAAGTTCAATCCGCAGGTAGGGATCAGAATATCGATAATCGAACTGTCAATCGTTACATCACTGTTTATAGTCTGAGATCCACCCTTCCTTGGATACAGTCCAAGAGATGGACCAGTGAATCTAAGGGGAAATATTTGCTTAGATCCCAATGCTCTTACCGGAATCAATAAGACGCAATATTACTTGTTTTTGCGAAGGTAAGTAATTCTGTTCCAATGCCGCAGAGTATATTATCCAATGTAGGTAGTTTAAAATAATGAGATTGAAAATTGCGAATAACTACGATAATCGAAATCCAATAGAAATAGAGTGCTTGATATCATTAAACCAATAATTCAAAGACATTTCTTTGAATAAAGCTTTTCTTTGAATTTCCTAAAAATTTTGATTTTAGTAGCTTTTAAATCAATAAATAATTCAATTGATTTGGTAGAAATATGATGTCATAACTAAAAATCATCATCATCATCATTTCGGCCCTTTGATTTACAGATGTGCCGGGTGGTTCTACCTTTATAACTCAAAAAACTGCTATACAAAATGTATGGGGATTGGTGTGTTTTGAGCTGTAAAAACACACCAATCCCCTCTAGAATGAGCTGTCATTCTAGTAGCCAATTCTAATCAAAACTTACGCTCGGATTCACAAACATTACAATGAAGTCTCCTATTGCGCGTGGACGCACAAGTGATATAAATAAGTGGTTCTTATGAACCAATCACAGAGCTCCATTCAACGCTGTGCGTTAGATTTGCTGATTCACATAGACAAGCATCCACCCACAAGGTGGACCGACGACCTGATAAAGGTAGCAGGAAGGCGCTGGATGCAGCCGCTACCAACCGTGCGATGTGGAAGTCATTGGGGGAGGCCTATGTTCCGCAGTGGACGTCCTTTGATTTGTAGAAAATAAAATTACTTTTATGACTGACTAGCATTGAATTCAACAAATTGTTTAGACTTTGGTAGGGAATTATTTAGTTTCAACTAGAAACTGGAAATTCATCAGTATTAAAAAGTTTTGGTTACAGCCAAGAACTGGAATCCCATTGAATATTCCCGAAACCTTCAAAAATCTTTAACGTCTTCAATGTAATGGGAGTGAGTATCCTAGACATTTTTGGGGATTCTTGCTGCATCATACTTTGCATCTAGACTCAAGACAGCAGTCTTGTCTAACCAAAAAACTTCATAAATCAATGAAATTACCGCTGCAGAACTGAATCTTTAGAAACCATAGTACTCCGGAAGGCCAAACAAAGATATTTGCTCAACTCTAATAAACTCTCCACCCACACTATAGAACACTCGAAATATCTAAGAAAACGCAGTAAATGAGTAATATAGCTTTCTATTTACCACAGAAAACAGTTTGTGTAACATTTATGAATTCACCATAACTCTTTGGTCAAATCACCGGGGTTGGCCCAAATCCAATGAGTGCGCATTCCTTTCAGCAAACGAACAAATGATTTTAGCCAGAAAAATTACAGAATATAAACGAAAATCAAGTTAAAACACTCCAAAATCTCTTGTAACAGTATATTTTAGATTAAAATTGTAATCGTATGTAGTACAATTTATTGTGCACTTAAAAATTTGGGACATTAGGCTAAACGGAATAATCAAATGAAATAATCACGCTATACATTTTACACGGCGCCATTGAGCCGACAGCTGAATTAAAATAACTTTCTATTATGACAACTACAGCGGATTTTACACATACTTATCAGTAAGTAGGTATTTTTTATGCAAAAACATAAATACCTACAAATATTTTTGTCATTTTTGTCGCACTTGTACTAAAATCTAACCCTCTTTGGCGTAGAGCCTTATGTGTATCGCCCGTATTCACAAACATTACTACGAGGTCGCACAGTATACGTGGATGCACAGGGTGACACACGAACCAATCACAGAGCTCTATTCAACGCTGTGCGTTCGATTAGCTGTTTCACTTAAGCAAGCATCGTTTGTGAATACGGGCGTAAAGTACTAAATTTAGCGGCCTAAAGCGGTCTCTGCTTATCTTTTTAGTAACTAAACGCGCGTTGAACTCTGTTTTAAAAATGAAGTGTTCAACGCTCCTTCAACTTTTTGTAATAGGCCCTTGGTGTCTCTACTTTTCAGTGTCTAGGCCCACATACCTAGTAACAAATTTAAAGTTAAAAAGAAAATAGTCTAGACATTTTGATAGACTTTTTGAGACATTTAGCGAAGCGGACTTTTGGCACAGAGGAGGAGTTTAAACGAAATTACTCTTTAAGTGGTTATAACGTTGGTTTCAAGTTGCCTAAACTTTGAGAATGGATGTTTGTTGTTTAATGATGAATTTTTAATGGCACTTGCGTATAATATACGGGGTTTGTTCCTTTTTACTTTGTGATATAAAACCGTAACTTCATTGAAACTATACCTAATTATTTTATTAAAGACTAGCGGCCGCCCGCGACTTCGTACGCGTGGATGACGTTTTACCCCCTTAGGGGTGGAGTCTACCTGCATGCCAAATTTCAGCCCGATCCGTTCAGTGGTTTGGGCTGTGCCTTGATAGATCACTATGTCAGTCAGTCAGTCAGTTACGAGTAAGTCACCTTTGAGTTATTATTGTGTTGTGATTAAATGAATGTATGCTTTTGTTCTTTTATTTACTGTATTTGATTAAAATAAATAGTTAAGTTACAAAATAATTAAGTTAGCAAACTAGTTACTTAAGAGGTTTCTATTGTATTACGAAATGAATGAGTGATATTATTTTATAACCTAACTTACAATAAAATATACGAGAACTGCATGATTTAGGGAATAAAACGAAAGTCATTTGTCAGTTAAAGCCTTACATTTATTATAAGGTAATAAATAACGTTAAATGCAACCGGAAGTGGGACAAAGGCTCCTATAAATTGTACCGCTGAAGCATTGTGGAGGTTTGTACTGCGGTGTTCGTAGTTTGCGAAAATTAGATTTAGAAAATGTTAATTAAAAAACATAGCCCTCCTTCTGGCGCAGTCGGCTAAAATTACGGCTGTACAGACGTTTTCATTTTCGTATAATAATAATATTATGTAAAAAACAATTTCGTCCTACGCCCAATATTTTTTCTAGTTTTTATATTAGCGGACTACATTCTCGTAGGCTACATTCCTGGCATGATGGGTAGGATAATTAAGACCAAATTAAATTGGCCTATACTTGCGGGTTTGGCTGGTAACATAATAAGTATTATTCACTAGTGGCCCGCCCCGGATTCGTAGGTACTGAATTTAATATTCGTAGGTACTGAATTTAATATTCGTAGGTACTGAATTTATTTTTGCAACACTTACTACCTCCCAATTGATAAAAACTGCATTACAATCCGTTACGTAGTTTAAAAGACACTAAACGCGTAGCCGTAGCAACTTTGTTATACTACGAGCTACGTACTACGAATATGTAGAGCTGTGTGCTTACCATGAGTTTACGTTAGGTGTGCTCGCTAGTGAATACGTAAAAAAAGATATAAATCGCATGACAAATTATACAGCGCCCCTAGCGGCTTCTCTGAAGAACTAAAATGTTCAGATTTTTTGNACGCACTCACTAGCGAGCACACCTAACGTAAACTTATGGTAAGCACACTATGTGCTTAGTGCGAATTTGCATGAACGTAGTCACTAGCGAATGCGTCAAAAAATCTATGAAGATTTTATTTCTTGAACTATACGCTAGAGATGCTGTAAAATCTATCATACTTTTACACCAGTAAGCAGCAAATCAAACGCACATCATTGAATAGAGCTCTGTGAATGATTCGTTTATCACCCTGTGCGTCCACGCGGACCGTAAGATATAACATAGAGAGAGAATCATAGTAATGTTTGTGAATAAGGGCGTTACTTTAAGTTTTCATGCAGTTTTATGTAAACTCGCAC